ACTTGGAAATTCTCTTTCACTCGACTCTCTTTAGTAGACTTAGGAATAGTGGGCACAGAGTTCTGGATCGACCACCGGATCAGCACTTGTGCCGGACTTCTGCTATGCTTTTTGGCCATCTCTGTGATCACCGGCTCATTAACCAGATATCCCTCGCCTAATGGCGAATAGCCTTGGATTTGAATTTTGTTATCTGAGCAATACTCACGCAAATCAATGGGATTATGAAAGGGATGGAACTCTATTTGGTTGATATGAGGCGTAACACTGGTATCGCCTAAAAGTCTCTCAAACTCGTCGATTCCATAATTACTGACACCAATGGCTTTGCAGAGCCCCTCGTCGTACAGCACCTCCATTGCCCGCCACGTTTCGGCCAGTGTTTGCCATTTGTCCGTACATTTTGACGACACTTCGGGCCAATGAATCAAAAACAAATCGATATAATCGACGCCCAATCGGTTCAGAGATCCGCGAAATGCAGTCTTTGTTGTCTCGAAACCATAATCTGTTGGCCAGAGTTTGGTCGTCAAAAACAATTCGTCTCTATTGACACAACTTTCCTAATTATCAAATGAAAATAACTCCTAAAATGCAATTAAACCATATTAACAAGGTTTGAATATATAGTAAATAGTTTACATGAATGGCTTCGGCGATGAGTTTTTCGGTTCCGTATCGCTTAGCCGTATCGATGAGCCGATAGCCAACATCTTTGAGGGCATAGACCACCGCGTCATGAGAGTAGCCGCCGCTATGACTCGTCCCTAAATAGGAGTTTATATTACTTTTTATGAGTTAAAAATATTTTGCATAAAAATAGCATTCAATTACAAACTTAAAGAATCTGAAGGTCACCAGGAAACATTTATAGATTTACTCTACGTATATTCAGTACAACTACATATTACAACTATATTAATATAAATGTCTTAAGATGTAACTTTTAATTAAAAAATCAATATTACCGTAGTATATAATTTATATAATTTTTAAATATAAGTTAATTTATGTGCAATATTTTGGTCTTGAGATAAAAATAAACAAAACTCAGTGCTATATTAGTTAGAAAACTATATTTTCTCATACAATATAACATTATAAATAATAAATTCTTGTTAAAATTAAGAGCTCTTAAATTATTTTTTAAACATTTTCATTGCTTATAAAACTATAGATAATTAGAAAATAAAAACAAAAACAATTCAAATTAATTGATGGATTGCTTTGGTTAATACCTAATCCAACGAATGGCATATGAACTCCATTATTTAGTCTTATTCGTGATTTATTGTCCATTTA